GTGTGTGTGTGTGTGTGCAAACAATACACACTCATCAGATTTTTATCTCATTTGTTCACTTCTGGTCATTTATAACAGAACCATCCATCATCTTTACCTGCTTCTTCCTTTTCGAGTCACGAGGGTCACTGGTGCCCATATCCATCTATCACTGGGCGAGAGGCAGGGGACACCCTGGACAGGTCTCCAGTTCATCCCAGGGACACATAGAGACAAACAACCATTCACTCTCTCACTCACACCTAGAGACAATTTAAGAGTTACTAATCAGTCTAACATGCATGTTTTTGGTCTGTGAGAGGAAACTGGAGTGAAAAACCATGCATGCATGGAGAGAACATGTAAACTCCACCCAGAAAGGACCCCGGCCAGGATTTGAACCAGCGACCTTCTCGCTGAGAGGCAGCAGCATACAAAACTATTTAAATAAATTAATAGTTTTTGGCAGGGGTGGAAGTAAAGAATTACAAATACTCACATTACTGTAATTAAGTAGATTTTTGGGGTACTTGTACTTTCATGAGTATTTCTTTCAAGTGTGTAATTTTACTCATACTTAAGTACAATTTAGACCATGTAATCTACTTCGGTACTTTTAAAATCAGAAGTTGCCACTGAGTACAGCTGCAATTTGAATTAATATTTAAACCGTTCATCTGCATCTTTGTAGCCAATAAGACTCTCAGATCATGAACACATCAATTACCTATGATGTAATCAAAGTACAACTCTGTAGAGCAGAGAGTCATTTATGGACCCAAGATTTGGAGAAAAAGACAAAATGGAGACGGAGGACAAACTGTCCACAGAGATAATGACGAGGTAAAGGCTGAGGACGTGTGCACGTGGCTGTACCTGGAGGAATGTTTCATGTACAGAGGGTGAAAAGGAGACAGGTCCAGATGTAAACTGTGTTTGATCTCTACGGTGACAGCAGCTGACAAGACTTCATCTAATCTCAAAACATATTGTGGTGTACGAGGTTTTACAGCTGCCTGTATGATATTAATGCTTATTGTTTGTATGTGTGGGTTATAAGTTTGACTAAGTATCTTAGATATTGTCACTTCCATCGGTTTGTCTGGTACTAAAATAAGACGGAGCTTCTGAGAAATGAACTTTGAATGTTGCTGTTATATTTATATTTATATTTATTATGTACAGTAAATCAAACTGAATGACTTCTATTGACAACACAATAAAACATCAAGTGGTTAAAAAGTCATTAATACTCTGAATAGTTTTTGAAAAGAGTACTTTGTACTTTTACTCAAGTATTTTTATAACACCATTACTTTTACTGGTAACTGAGTACAATTTAAGCAGTGTAACAGTACTTATACTTAAGTACACATTTTCAGTACTCTTTCCACCTCTGGTTTTAGGTTTCCTTTTTCCACATCGTTCACCATCAATGATCAGAAACTGTCCTGAGCTTGTTGAGAGTTTCACTGATTTCTGCAGTTTTTTTCCCCCCACAAACACTTTTAAGTTCACATTAAGTTCACATCAATGTATAAATTAGAAAAATAAATATTTATTACATTTTATATTACAATTACTGCAGATCATGCACATTAAGGTCTCGTTTGCAGCAGATTGCAACACATTCTGAACATTTGTAACGAGGAAAAAAAGCAAGTTTGTATTAAAAGCATCAGATGATAAACAGTGACATTAACAAAAATACAATAAATATTTACATCAGACATTTTTATACAAATTAATTTACAAAAACTACTCAACAGATGTTTTCTGTGTAAAGTCCCTGTCACATAGTCTATGATCTGTTACAACCCTGCAACAATCGATTCATGACAACAATGAATGAATAGACGTGAATGTTTTGTTGTTGGAGGAGGAGAAGAGAGCTCCGGATGAGACACACTTCAGCTGATTTAGCTCATCAGAGAGAGGAAGAGGTCAGACCTGGAAAACAAAATGAGCTGTATGTCAAGACGCCATGCTCAGCGTGTGTGTTGTAAATACTCTCACATCAAGTCTTAGCTCAATATCTATACAACTGACTGCATTATGGCCGTTTATGTGTTTGCTCATTGTGGTTAGCTGTGGTGGCCAATTTAAATCTGACTGTCTGTAAAAGTGAATCAGTTGTTGGTGTTCGTCCTGTCATTACTGGAAGTTTGATCAAACTCTGTCCTGTGGTTCATCACATATTCCGTTAACAGACCAGCAGCTTTCACTCCAACAGTCAACGCTAGTTTCAAGCAAATATCAAGTGTAATAAGTAGCACTTGTAGTTTGTGTTGTGAGACTATTTACTACCCACCATCCCCACCCCAAAAAAGAAAATAATAATAATAATAATAAAAGGAAAAAGTATGTCTATATCTATAAAAACTGACAGAATTATAGCACTTGTTGTCTTTTCTATGACCAGTTGGCTGTAGCGGCCATCTTAAATGAAGCAGCCTCCTAAAGTCAATGATGAACATCCTGTAATTATTTCCTGAAAGTTTCGGATAAACCGGTCGAGTGATTCATGAGACATTTTGCTAACAGACAGGCAGGGTTGACTCTAAATAGTTATTGGCTTTTTTAAATTATTTTTTTAAATAAAAGTCTGTTTGGAATTTCGGAGCGCTCAAATTATAATTTTGCTGTATCTGTAAAAGTGACAGATTGGTGGCAGATGTTCTTCACAACCAAACCGTGCAAATGAAACTGAAGCTTTTTTCTTTGCAAACATCCAAGCGTCCACACGGTGGCGCTGTGGCTTCGTGTATCACTTCAGCTCAGCTTTCCAAGCTGTCTGACACATTTCATGTGCTCGGAGTTGTTGAGGAACTTGATCACAAGAGGAACTTTCTTTCCTTTTGCCTGCAGCATCGTGAGCGCGCGTCATGACGCAGATCCAACCTGTTGCGGCGGACGGGAGGAAAAACTGCGACAGCGCACAAACACGCTTTATCCAACTAAATAAATAAAGAGACAGGCTCGCATGCATTTCACTTTAGTTTGTTGAATTTGAGTTCAAATAGTTTACAAGCTCCCCCCATTTTATTGAAATGTATTGTAATTTTTAAATATAATTCACGCACATCAGCCATGAGCCCTACTCTTAACCTCCAACCTAACCACCTCGTGGGTCAGTCAACGCCTTAAAATGACACGCTTGATATTCAACACCGTAAAATGACGCCCAAAAAGCTCAAACGCGCGGGCATGACATGCGCTCTGGTGCGCTATTTATATGCGTTCCAGTGATGTCATGTGGTTCTAATAAAAGCCCCCATGTGAGGGGGTAAGAAGCTCCATCAGTAAGGGGGAATGTCTTTATATCTTACATTTAAGGTTGGAAAACGTAGATTTCTTTAACCCTTTCAATGCTTTTTCTTCTCAGTGTGAACCTGAACTCCACTCCAACACTGTTATACATTTAAATCTTCTTTTACACATCTGTCAGTTTCCCTGAGTATGACTCTGGCTGGTTGACTTTTGGATGTGTCAAAACCTCCAGGTCGTCGCTCCCCTGGTACGACTCGGTTTTGGAGAGCGACTGGTTGCTTTTGATGGAGTCACTTTCCCCCAAAGAGTGCAGCTGCTCCGGCTGCCCGCACGTCACGTGGATGTACTGGACATTTTCCTCCTCTTCATTCTCTCGGTGGTAGAAATAGTTGAAATTCGATACGATGACAGGGACAGGTAGAGCAATGGTCAGCACTCCGGCAATGGCGCACAGGGATCCGACAAACTTCCCTCCAATGGTGGTGGGGTACATGTCTCCGTAGCCCACTGTGGTCATGGTCACCACAGCCCACCAAAACGCATCAGGGATGCTGGAGAACGCAGTCTCGGGATCCTCCACCTCAGCGAAATAAACCGAGCTGGAGAACAAAATAACTCCAATGAGCAGAAAGAATATGAGCAGTCCCAGCTCCCTGAGGCTGGCGTGGAGGGTCTGACCCAGGATCTGCAGACCCTTGGAGTGTCTGGAGAGTTTAAAAATCCTGAAGACACGCACCAGACGAATGACCCTCAGGATGGCCAGAGAGGCGGCCTGCTGACTGCTGCCCTGATGCTCCGCCAGATCAAGGCCCAGGGTGATGAAATACGGCGCTATGGCTACAACGTCGATAATGTTCATGATGTTTTTAAAGAAAGCTGCTTTGCTGGGACAGGACAGGAACCTCATGCTGAATTCAAAGGAGAACCACACGATGCAGAGCGTCTCCACAATGAAGAACGGGTCCGTAAAGGGACTGGGCGCCTTACTCTGAGCGCTCCCGTTGGGATGCGTCTCGGGCTCAGGGGGGACCTCTCGGAACTCGGGTAACGTCTCTAAGCAGAATATAACAATGGATATCAAGATGACCATCACTGACACGATGGCGATTGTCCGTGCAGGTCCTGAGCTTTCTGGGTACTCAAACAGGAGCCAGAGCTGGCGCTGGAACTCGTTGGAGGGCAGTGGCCGCTCCTCCTCCTTGGACAGACCTTCATCTTCTTTGTACGCCTGTATCACCTCTTCATTGAGTTCATAAAACTTCATTTCCTCCAGGAAAATGTCCACGGGCACGCTCACGGGCCTCCTGAGCCTCCCGCCTGACTGGTAGTAGTAGAGGATGGCATCAAAGCTCGGTCTGTTCCTGTCAAAGAAATACTCGTTCCTCAGCGGGTCGAAGAAGCGCGTCCTCTTGCGCGGGTCCCCCAGGAGCGTGGTGGGAAAGCGGGCGAGTGTCTTCAGCTGCGTCTCGAAGCGCAGGCCGGAGATGTTGACGACCACCCTTTCACTGCACTCCTGCTCCGCTGGTTCCAGGTCAGCAGCATCTGGCAGCGAAGGAGGGACCACCACAGACTCTTCGTTACCGTCCTGGGACACCACGGTCATCTTCTTTACCCCCTCTGAGGGCAGGTCCGTCACTCACCTCCTCTTCCTCTTGCCTTTTTGCCCGTGCGTCCTTATAAATCTTTCTCTCATGCGCACCTCCAAGTTAAAGCAGATCCCCCCGCTTTGTTTCCCTCCTCCAGCCGTGGTATATATTTGTCAATATCCACCGTTGTTTGTTTACACTGCCCTCTTGTCAGATTAGAGCCTCCGAACTGACAACTTTCTACAGAGCGCACAGATCTCCACTTGCATAAGGCTTCAGGAGGCTATCATATTCACACCGATTTAAACTCCAGAGCCCTCCCCATGTTGGAGCGCCGGCTGACACCGCTGCTGTGGCTCCTCTCAGAGACTCAGTGTTTCCACTGAATCAAACAAGTGGCAGGTCCTCCTCTACTGAAACTCCCCCGGTTTGTCTTTTGTTTTCAGCCCAAAGGGAGGGCGAGTTGTTTTCAGCTCCGGGGTCCACTCAGGAATGGAGCTCCTCTCCCTGCAAGTCCTTCATTCATGAAATCATGGGGTTATTCCTGTCTCACAGGGGAACCTCCAGACTGCGTGTCGCAGCCCACCCTGTAGAAACCACAAATCCAGAGTGATATTGCCCGCCGCTGAAAGACGACGACCCTGGGTGTTCGTTTGTCTGGCTGTTATCAAAAACATCTCACGAATCACTGGACAAATTTTAATAAAACTCTAAGAAGGTAATCACTGTTTGCACATCTGCAACTGAGTCACCTGCAGAGCCAATCTGACCCAAGATGGCCACCACAGCCAGTTGGCCTTTGAAAACACTAAGTGGTTATGAACAAAGTCCATGCTCAATAATCCAGGTATACAATCCAACATTTTTCAGTCAGGTCATCTGGACAGTTTTTTTTTTTTTGTTGTTGTAACTAACTGTAACTTTGTTGTTGTAACTAAATGCTTATATTCTGTCACTTTTTCCTGTTTTTGCTGAAATGTAGTTTGTTAGAGAATTAAACACTTAGTGTTACTTCTTACACAAGATATTTACTTCATATGTTTAAATGAACTGTTGTAGTCAACGCTGTTTGTCTGTTAGCAAAACATCTCTGTAACCACTGAACAGAATTTAATGAAACTTTCAGAAAGTAATCACTGGATGTGTTTTTGCAGCTGATTATCATTTGGCATCAATCCAAGTTAAGACGACCACAACATATATTCAAAATTGGTTGATACAAAAATGAATATAGCTCAAACAATTTTACCGTTACTGAGCTAAAATTAAAGTCATTCACAACACACACTTTGAGTGTGACATTTTGTAATTTGCATGAAATTATGAATAAAGTTTTTTTTTTTTCAAGATGTAACCAAAACAGCTACAACTCTGTCATTTTTCAACTGACCATATTTTTCAGGCTATAAGGCGCGCTTCAAATCCTTGAATTTCCTCAAAAATCGACAGTGAGCCTTATAATCTAGTGCGCCTTATGTATTAATTCTGGTTGTGCTTACTTACCTTGAACCAATTCTATGTGGTACACGGCGCTCAAAAATCCATCAAAATGAACTTATTTCACTTAATGTGTCTTATAATCTGATGCGCCTTATGTATGAAAACAGACCCGTTCATTGATATTGCACCTTATAGTCCAAAAAATACGGTAAGATGATCCTCAAGTTTGAGAAGAAATGAGGCCGGCGATATGAATTCCTTCAAGAAATACTGTCTTTGAATTAATAAAGTGAATGTTTTTAATATTTTTTGCATTTTCAAACAATAAAAAATAAATAACTAGATTGTCCTGAGTGTCAGAGTCATAACGAGGGGCCATTGCAGACCCAGCCAGTGGAAAGTGCTGGCTTGACTGACATCTGAGTAGTGGGAGAGGACAGCGTCTTCATAAAGCCACAGCCAAAATAACATACTTACACTTAAAGGGCTCAGTAGTAAAACTTTGACCATGAGGGGGGTCCAGATGATTCATTAAATCAAGCTCAAAGTTATCTTTAATGATGTGATGTTTAATTTGTTCCAGTGAACTGAAGGACAAAAGTGTTAGAATTGATTTGCAGTAAATATCCTACGTACTCTTCAGCTCTGTGATCTAATAATAGCTACGATTTTATGCACTTTCATTGCTTTAATAAAGCCGCTCGTCAGGCACCACAAGAGCACAACAATAGCACAGGGGTGTTAATCAGTGGAACTAAAACCAATCTGGATGCTTTGCATTAATAGATTCATCCCAGCTAATCACGGTTATTTTTGCTGTCAGATTTATACGAACAAAATCACTGACGAGCACGATCGTCTGTGTGAGTTCTTATTTGAACAAAGGTCATGACCTTAAAGTTAAACATCACTTTCAGGACTCTGTGCCACCTGCTGCTAATGCTAATGTTAGCGTATAGTCAGCACCATATGTCTGTCTGAGTCAGGCTGAAGGGTCAGGTCCGAACTGTATCCAAGGAAACCAACCATAACAAGCAAGCTCAGAAACTGACACTGACTGATACTTATGGAAGCTCCTAAAGGCAAAACAAAAAATGTGCTGGGTGGGATGGGATGTCCTGTTCTCTAAGTTTGACCGAATACATTTCTTTCCTCTTTATCCTGATGCATGCTCAATAATCCAGGTAGAAAAATCCAAAAAAGTTCAATCTGGTCCTCTGGACATTCAAAAAA